TCTAGTTTATTATAATATTCTAATACTTTTATTATTAAGGTTGACCCTGAAACAACTTTTTACATATGCCATTCAATTAAGATGCGTTGAGGTGTTTCTATGAAGAACTTAATCTAAATATTTGTAATTTATACTTCACATTTTGGAGGTTTCCAATTGTTTTTGTAAAATTCAAAACTTTTTTCTATAATAAATACAAATTTTAGTCATTTATGTCCAACTGAGTTAACAGCCTTTACACTTGTTTTGGTGACTGGCCCATAGGTACTTTGATTATAATAAAGTGGGCCCCTTTAGTAAAATTATTAAAGATATAATATTAATTTTATTTTAGGTATTATAAAAAAGTTGCTGTTGTTAAAGAGAAACAAAAACGGGATGCAGATGAAGAAAGTATAGAAGATGTGGATGATGAGGAATTTGAAAAGATGATTGGTAATTTGTTAAGTAATTTATTACTATTTACTTATATTACCATGGAGTATTAGTCGTAGAAGTGATCTTAGTTTAAAAAATTTATTTAACTAAGAATACCATGCAAATCACAATGGAGGATTAAAACATTTTGGGGAGATATGGTAATTCACCCACATTTGCTGCAGAAAAATATGTGATTGTTCTTTGACAATTTGTGGAGGAAAAAAAGTATATTTACCTGAACATACTCATTCTTAAGGCCAAATCTATAGAAGAGAACCCATTTTTACTGTTGTTAACCTCCTTGCATTATTGGTAGCAACAGTCTGCTACTTAATCTATTTTATCTTCATACTCCATAGAGCTAGAAAATTTTAAGTAAAATTTAGACTGAAACAGGAAACATGGGAAATTAGAAGGGCTTACATTGAGTTCACTTAAATAGTTCTAATAGAGTAAAAAGGACAGTAGTTGCTAAATATTTATTTGATATTTACCTTTTTATAAAACTGTAGAAAGAAGCTGAAATTAACTGGAACCCATTTTAGTTGAGGAATTTAAGTAAGGCCAGAATATTCACAGGTTTGTTTTGGTTTTTGTCATAAACAGAAAAATCATGACTGTTAATTGATTCAGAAATAGGACATGTCGACTTTGTTGTTCTTTGTTATATCTCACACTTTATATGTTGTTATCTGGCAGATACATTTGAAGATGATAACTGTTTCACCTCTGGAAAGGATGATCTTGATTTTGCTGGGTAAAATACATTTCTTCAATATTTTTTTAACTGTTTTCTCAGCATTTCCCAATGGTCCCTCAGAACAGTAGAGGTATTAATAAACTTGGGAAATGGATCCAGTGCTTTCATTCTGGACCTTTTATAATGCATATTAATATATTAAATAAAGGCTCCAAGCCTTCTGTAATTCTCCTTTAAGCCTGTTAATAGCCTAATACCTCTGGTAGGCACCAAGCCATGTTTTAGAAAACCGTCCTTTTACATTACAAGTTGTTGTTTTTCTTCAGCAATATGAAAAAGAAAACAAAAGGAGCGAAGGGTGAGCCAGAAGATGAAGATTCAGAAGATAGTGATGATGACTTTGATAACTTAGATGATGATGAAGTTTCTTTAGGAAGTATGAATGAAGAATTTACTGAAATTGATGAAGATGGAGGAACATTCATGGATGTGTTGGATGATGAGAGTGAGGGCAGTCAAGGTAAGCATTTTAAAAATTGAAGACAGAAACAAACTAGATCTTCCTTTCTTCCTCAGCATATCTGTGATATACCTGTTGAGCTGTTGTGTTGCTTCCTTTTTAAAATTTTATTTTTTCCAACACGATTTATCCCTCTTCCACCGCCCCCCCCAAATCACCAGTTGCTCTTTTTAATGTTAAAATACCTAGTAATTAGTGTTTTCTAAAAGGTAATAAATATTTATCATTTAGCATAACCCTATAGCAGTCCTATTGCTTTTAAATTACTTAATGGCACATTTTTTGGTAACAGACCTTAATGATGAAGTCAGCTCCAAAGTCAATTCTAATAAAAGCAAGAGGAAAAGTGCAAATGATTTTGACTTTGCTGAATCATTTCAAGGTAAGAAAATGTATTTAATCCCTTTGAAACCTAAGCAGTGTGCAAATGAAAGTTATTATTCATTATTCTTTTGGGAAATTAACTTTTCTAAATTGCTGGTTAGTACAATTTGTTGTTATAATGGATAGTAACAGTTTTATGTGAAAATTGTTATTTCCCACATACAGCTTTAATTATTTTTTTTCTTCCTGAATTCTTTCCTCTTACATCTAAATATCTCTAGATCATTTCTGTTTAAACCATTCAATTATATGTAAGCCCTGGTTTTCCATAGATACCTTTTGCTTTTTCTCAACTAAATCTTATTCTTTGCCATTTGACCCTTCTGAAAATCCATGCTCTTTATTAATTTTATTTTCCTTTTTTGAGATCTGCCATCTTGCTGCCATGTCAAAATAATTCTAACCTCACAAATATCTTATATAAAACAGAGGAATTCTTTCAAGTATATCATAACGTTATTTTAAAGTAGCACTTGTACTAATAAAAGAAAAAAGTACTATTATCAGGTGACAGCCTTAAGTTTTTGATAAAAATATAGACAGCAATTATACAATAAATATTTTATCCTATAATTCTGTGGATAAGTACACAGTGCCCTGGCTGGTGTGGCTCAGTTGGTTGCACCAAAAGGTTGCCATTTTGATTTCTGGTCAGGGCCGGCTCGATGCCTGGTAGGAGGCAGCTGATTGATGTTTTACTCTCTCATCCATATTTCTCTCCCTTTCACTTCCTCTTGCTCTAAAGGTCAACTAAAAATCTTAAAAAAGAAAACACAGACTTGTGCTTTTTTTCATGCTTTGCCTCTCTAGCTTCTGCTTACTAGTACTGATGAATAAAAATAGATTTGCAAAGTTAAAAACACTTGACAATATTTTATTAAAATTAAGAAATACTTAAAACTTTGACATTAAATATTTTGACAATAAGTATAAAAAGTAGTAAAAACTATATATTGGTAGTAGTCTCAGATTTTTTATGCCTACAAAATTTCTATCAGCTCTTTCAAATACTGCTAACAATCAGTCCTGTTAATTAGCTTGGTTTACCTGGTACATATTTAAATTTTAATATCTTCCACACTTTGTTTTCAACTGAGTGCTGTAAGGTCACGTGTTAATAGTAGCAAATGCTCAAATACAAGGCAAAGTTTTCCTCAAAATCATCTCACAGGAAATAAATGTTGCTTTAAAACAAGTCCTACTGAGCCTGTCATTAAAAAAATACTCTCTCAGTAACCTTATTTATATTTTTAAAATATATTTTATTGATTTTTTTACAGAGAGGAAGGGAGAGGGATAGAGAGAAACATGCATGAGAGAGAAACATCGATCAGCCTCCTGCACATCCCCTACTTGGGGATGTGCCCAAAACCAAGGAACATGATCAGTTGCCTACTGCACACCCCCTACTGGGGATGTGCCCACAACCAAGGTACATGCCCTTGACCAGAATCGAACCTGGGGCCCTTCAGTCCGCAGGCCGACGCTCTATCCACTGAGCCAAACTGGTCAGGGCTAGTAACCTTCTTTTTTTAATGATCAGTACTGTTCTCAGAAGACAATAGTCTGAGACAATCTAAAATCTTAATAGTTTTGGATGCCGATTAAAGTGTACATAGTAGAATTGATTAAAACAAAACAAGAAGCAAAGGAATTTCAGACTTATTAATTGATCCTGAGGGCTCTACCTTAATTTACAAATGTTGGATATTCTTAAGGATAATCAAACCTTGCAGCAGATGTGTTTACTAATTGAAGTTATAGCTCTGTACCTATAAGATGAATGATAAACAAAACTTTCCTAATCCTATGCTAATGAGCATTTTAGCCTAAGATAAAATATTCAATATTAGTATTGTGAACAATTCTTAAATAATATAACATACATTTCACTTTGATAAAAATTAAGATGAAATGCTCTAGAAACTACTTTATCAAAAGTGGCTCTGGTATATTCACATAAAGACTTGTACACAATTGTTCATAGTGGCATTATTCATAATAGCCAAAAAGTGGAAACAGCCCAATGTCTATTGTCTAATGATTAGATAGTAAAATATGGTATAGCCATGTAATGGAATATTATTCAGCAGTAAAATGGAATGGAGTGGTGGTACATGCTGTAATATGGATGAGCTTCAAAACTTATGATAAAAGGAAAGAAGCCAGATACAGAAAACCACTTACATAAAACTAGGGGCCCAATGTATGAACTCATGCGCCTTGAAAGGAACTGTGGGCCACGAGGCTGTGGTGGGCACAGGGCTGGGTCTCTGTCCATCCTCCACGCCCCCGCCCAGCCTCTCACGCCTCGGCCCGGCCCCTCTGCCGGCAGCCCCGTTCCTGCCACTCCCACGTGCTGACAGTGCCGGCCGCACTTGCACCCACTGACAGCACAGAGCGATTGGGGCCTGCGCCAGCAGCAGGTACGAGGGGCTACTGCCCCAACCACCGAGCAAGGCGCGGTGGAGAAGCCCTCAGGCATGATCAGGGCCAGCAGCAGGTAAGAGCAGAGTTGGCACTAGCAGTGGATGTGAGCAGCAGCCCCGGCACTGGCAGTGGGTGCGAGTGCCTGGCGGGACCGCAGCGCACAGGAGCGAAGAATTTTTAGTAACCACTAGAGGCTCGCCCTGATGACAGCAACCAGGGCCCCACCTTGATCTGGCACTCCCACTCACCTGCTCCACCATCCCACCTGCTGCGGACGCCTGCCATGTTCCACATGCGCCCCCTGGTGGTCAGCACACATCATAGCGATTGGTTGGTCCACCATTCAGTCTATTTGCATATTAGGGTTAGATAGATCGATCGATCGATCCAGAAAAGGCAAAGCCTTCATGGGAGGGATCATGTTACTACAAATGGGCACTAGGGATCTTTTGGAGTTGATGGGAATATTCTAAAATTGCATTGTGATAACAGCTGAACAACTCTGTAAATTAATTGAAAAGTATTGAGTTATACACTTACAACAGCTGAATTTTATGACAAATTTTATTCCTTAGTACAGCTTTTTTAAAAAAGTGACTCTAGTAGTGCCAGAGACATTGCTGTCAAAGATGCAAATTGTAGTATTAAAAATCGATGTTTTACTTTTTTATCTATTTTGAAAAGTTTATATATCCAGAATTATAGGTGTATTTTTTTTAAAGGAGAACCACTTTATTTTGAGCGGTGTAAATAAAACTTGATTTATAACATTATTAATAAACATACCTTCCATAAATTTCTTCACAGTCCAAAGAATAAAACCTCTGGCTTAATTAGAATTTACATTTTGCCTTAAATATTCCAAAATCTATCCATGTCAACTTTGGAAATTTAATCGTGCTTGATACAATGAAATAGGATAAACTGTGATCAGTGGCCAAATCTGAAAGGCAAGAAGACATAAAATCAACTGAACAATTCTATTAGGATACTTTTTAAAAAGTAGTATATACTAACTCTTAAATACATTTCTGTCTAAGTACCAGCTACCTAATGGTGTTTGAAAATTTTGTACTTTATCCCCAATATAAATTTTTTTAACAAAGTCGTGTTGAAACATTTCTATTTTTCCAACATCATTGGAATTTACAATTTAATAATCTAGGTTTATACTTCTTTTAGGACCCAGGAAAAAAAAGAAAAGAAACCTCAGTGACTCCAACCTATTTGTATCTGCTGAAGAGGTAAAGGGTAATGTACTACTTTGAGAAGTTAGCTATTCAACATTGTTTTAAGTTTTCTGATAAATGTATTCCCCCACCCCACCCTTTCTTTTTTTTAAGTTTGGCCACCTATTGGATGAAAATATGGGATCCAAGTTTGACAACATTGGCATGAATGCCATGGCTAACAAAGATAATGCAAGTAAGTAACTTGAATTTTTCTGCTAAGTGACTTTATAAATGGTTTTTAGACATTTTAATTTTTTCTGATATTCATAGTTACTAGCCTCTGTTTTTTGCCAGTAAAAAGGGTTCAGGGGAAATAAAATCTTTAGAGCATTTGTCCCTTTCCTGTTCTGGCCTTTTATAAATAAAATGGTAATCTTTGACATTAAATATAGAAGGAAAGTAACAAATAAGCAGGGGATTTGCATTGTGGTTGGGAAACAACTGTAGACCCTGGCAGACCAGAAGCTCCTGTTACTCAGTAGGATGTTCTGTGGGGCCTCCAAAAGTCTACAGTGGGGTGTGCTCATCTTTCTTCTCCCCCAAAGGTCTCAAACAGCTTAGGTGGGAGGCTGAACGTGATGACTGGCTACACAACAGAGACGTGAAAAGTATCATCAGGAAAAAGAAAAATTTCAAAAAGAAGAGGCCAAAAGCACCTCAAAAAATTAAAAAGCAAAGAAAATGAGTGTTTTCTAAATAAATTATAAATTCAGATTGTACTTACTCCTAACTTTTGTTGTTCAACCATTTTTCTTGATCTTGCTGTCTCACTCCATACATTCCAGAATATTCAATGGATTTGTAATAAACTGTAAATTAAAAAATAGTTGTCATTTATAAAATCATGTAAAAATGTTAAATTAAACACTATATATATAAAGAGCCAGGGGCCATCGCAGCCGAATGGATGACTAAACAGGCTGAGTGGGGCGACCAGGCTGGCAGGGGGGTTAGTGAGTGACGACCAGACGACTGAACAGCAGGCTGCATGGGGCAACCAGGCCAGCAGGGGGTTAGTGAGGGATGACCAAATGATCAAACAGCAAGCTGTGTGGGGCGACCAGGCCAGCAGGGGGGGCAGTTGGGGGCGACCAAGCCAGCAGGCAGAGGTGGTTAGGAGTGATCAGGCTGGCAGGGGGGCCACTAGGGGCGATCAAGGAGGCAGGCAGGTGAGCAGTTAGGAGCCAGCAGTCCTGGATTGTGAGAGGGATGTCCTCAGGATCAGGCCTAAACTAGCAGTTGGACATCCCCCAAGGGGTCCCAGATTGGAGAGGGTGCAGGCTGGGCTGAGGGGACCCCACCCCCCCGCACGAATTTCGTGTACTGGGCCTATAGTTCTATATAATAAGAGGAACATGCTAATTAGCCATTATGCCCTGAGGCGTAATGATGAAGTGTGGCAAGATCCCATCACAGATCAGCAGGAGGGTGGGCCAGTGAGGTACAAGGGGACTGCGGAGAGCTACAGGAGGAGGCAGGGCAGCAAGCTATAGGGGGAAGGGGGGTGGGGGGAGCTACAGGAGGGCAGCAGTGACCTAGTGGCACACGGATTCGTGCACAGGGCTACTAGTTGAGAAATAAACTTTCCCTTCTTGCATGTAGAAGCTCTAGCACCTGTACTAATAATTGTAATGAGCACTATTAGGCAAATACTGTGCTAATTACATAATGTTACCTCATTTGATCCTTACAACAATTTGTGAAGTGGTATGATCATCTCTACTTGACAGAGAAAGAAATAGCTCCAAGATGTTAGCAAACCTGAAATAGGTTTTAAATTTTAAGCTAGGTTTGATTCCATCACCACCTCAGGTATGTCTCATTCCATAGTCTACATTCTTAACTACTGGAAGAATTAAGAATCTAGCCCATGAACTAACTGCTCTCATCTAGATAACTCTAGGTGAGAATTTTCTCTACTCTGTTCTCAGAAGGAGCCAAAATAGGGATGAATAATATTTTTTTAAATTAACATCACAGAATAGTTATTTTGCCCTTAATTGGTCATAAAGAAATTACTTAGTTTATATAGGTTACCTGAAAACATTTTTGTAGTTTTATTTTTAAGATAAAAGTTATAAATACCTATAAGATGAACAGGATACCTGAAACATACCTTCCAAGATGAAGGGAAATTTCTTGCTCATTGTTTGCCTAAAATCTGATGGGGAAAAAAAATCTTAAAATTAGACATGATTAGAGATTCATTATATTAAAATATGCAGCCATATTTTAACCTTAAGGCATGTAAAGTAGGGATACCACAGATTAGAAATTTTTGTTAAGGTCCTGGTAATCCAGAAACTATCCTTTTGGGTCTAAACTGCACTTGCATATAGCCTTCCATAGTTATTTTGAAGTTTTAACATTTTTGACCTATATATATGATGTAATTTACTTAGAAGTGATGCTTAAAAGCAAATTTTCAATGTTAATGTATAATTCTGTTATGTAACTTTATAAATTATTTTTATGGATGCAATTTTACCTTGTTTTGGAATTAGAAATAAGACTACAATACCCATTTTTTAAAGTTGATCTTAAACTTTAATTTGCTTTTAAATACTATTTGGATGGTTTTTTATATACCCTTACTTATAGTTTAAAAGCATAGAGACTGCCCTAACCAGTTTTGCTCAGGTTTGGGCATCGGCCCAGAGACTGCAGAGTCTTGGGTTTGATTCTGGTCAAGGGCATGTACCTTGGCTGTAGGCTCAATCCCTGGGCCCCAATACGGGCCAGTGTGGAAGGCAACCAATCAATGTGTCTCTCTCACGTCGATGTTTCTCTCTCTGTCTCTCCCTCTCCTTTCCACTCTCTAAAAATTAATGGAAAAAATATCCTTGAGTGAGGATTAACAACAAAAGCATAGAGACTGAATATCCAGTAGCATCGTGGAACTGTTCCGGTGAAGTGCTTTTTAAGAAAACAAATGACAGGTTTCAAAGATGGCCACCACTGGGGATTGCTATTCCCTGCTTTAGTAAAAGAGAAAGCAGCACTTCCTAATTTGAAAGTTTGTGATCCTGGCCGATGTGGCTCAATGGTTGAGTGTCGACCCATGAACCAGGAGGTCACGGTTTGAAAAAATAAAAACATACTTAGGGGGAAAAAAAAAAAGTTTGTTAGCTCTCAGATAAAATTTCACCTCACAATAGGTCAAAGCACTTTCAGTAATAGCCAGGGCATGGGAAAGGGTTTCAGTGCCTAGTGTGGATGCAGAACTCGGCAAGCCTAAGAAACTGGTTACTTTGACAATTTGGCTATGCTACTCAGTCTACCAAATAGTGAGGTGCATTTGCTACATCTGTGCTCCCAAACTAAGCCAGACTAAGGACACTAGCTCTATTACCCACCCCTGCACTAGGAAAACCCAGGGAAGTGTGAAACATATCCCCTAGTCTGCAAACAATTTTTTAAATATATTTTTATTGACTTTAGAAAGGGAAGGGGAGAGAAACATCAATGCCTCCTACACACCCCCTACTGGGGATTGAGCCTGCAACCCAGGCATGTGCCCGTGACCAAAATCAAACCCGGGACCCTTCAGTCCATAGACCAGCCGTGGGCAAACTACGGCCGCGGGCCGGATCCGGCCCGTTTGAAATGAATAAAACTAAAAAAAAAAAAAGACTGTACCCTTTTATGTAATGATGTTTACTTTGAATTTATATTAGTTCACACAAACACTCCATCCATGCTTTTGTTCCGGCCCTCCGGTCCAGTTTAAGAACCCATTGTGGCCCTCGAGTCAAAAAGTTTGCCCACCCCTGCCATAGACCAATGCTCTATCCACTGAACCAAACCAGCTAGGCTGCAAACAATTTTTTAGGAGGAAGCTAAGAATCATTTACAATAATTAACACCTAGTTTCCCCTTGTGCCATAGTAAAAATGCCTAATGACGCTGAATCTAAAGAAGCAGTTTTTCTAACAATGCCATTTAGCACCTAAAATGCATTAGCAAACTGTATACTCCTCTATAAAACATTCACTTCTGAATTATCATTACCTTGGCTTGTGTCCATCTTATTAAACAAAACATATGCTCCAGCAACACCCAGAAATTCAGCTACTAAAACTCCTTTAAAGATCTTCTTTGCCAGTGGTTCCAAAGTGCGGACCATCCTAAGTTTAACAAATATATGTGAACTAAATGAGCATATTAAAACTTAATGCCGCTTCAATAAAAATAACTCCATTCCCACAGTGTGATTATCTCAATATGTTGGTATTGTCCTGAGCATGCTCTTTGTCACATGGTTCTGCCCTCTGTGCTGGTGGTATGTTCTCTAATACTCTGCAGTCCCCGCTCAGCTCACTGTCACGCCTTCACTCCATTCATTCCTGATTCCTTTTCACAACACCTGAGGGTGGGGAGGTAATTAAATACCCTACCTTTGTAGTATCCTACTAAAATCATTATCAGGTGCCCCCCCCCCCCCGTCCCCAATATTTCCTTCTCTCATTTTGATAATATGATCCCTGGGGACTAAAAGATTAAAACTTTACTATTCTTACCCAAAAGAAGCAGGGGAAGTGAAAGAAAAGAAAAAAGAACTTACAACCATCAGGCAGGTGAGTGGGTGAGAAGAGTTGTTTTGCTCTTCACTACAATGCTGTGTACATTACTGAGAGGAAATAAGCCCTCATCAGTACAGGGAGCTCTCGGGGTTACTTTTAATGTTCAAGGGGTGAAAAGAACAAAAGAGCCTGCCTGTAGCCAGACTTGCAGTATAAGGAATCCCAGTAAAATGCCATTTCGTTTTGTTGAAGAGAGTGAGGTTAAGGGTTCAAACAACAAAGTCCAAATAACACTGTATAATAAATCATTCACCTTTCTTGAAAATGTGTATATATATATATATATATATATATATATATATATATATATATATATATACACACACACACACACACACAAACACGCACGTTTTACAATGCAAGTAAAGCCTGTGAGATAAAGACCACAGAAGGCATACTGTGCACAACAAAGTTAGGCTACTAACCTGCAGGGGAGAAACAAGAGCAGACAAGCTTTTGAAAAGGTTGGAAGTTGGGGGACGTTTCAAATAAATCGGTCCTCCAATGGGCTCAGAGAGAAGCAGCGCTGTGATCACGGGGTTAACATCACACGGGGCTCAGTGCACACAAGCTTAGACAAGGCTCAAAGTGGCATCCGAAGACCCCTCATCTGCACCACAGCGGGAGATCTGCAGGCTCGGTATCTCCAGGCAACACCCTGTCCCGCAGCAAGGACAGGAATAAGTCTAGAATAAGATATTGAACAACATTTCTCAGCTACGTCTTTCCAGGTTCCCACCGGCAAAAGCCGAGCAGCCTGCGAGGCGCCCGCGTGCGACCTCAGGCTGGCTACCCACGATCCTCCGCCCCTCGCCGCCTCGCACCACCGGAGCCCCCTGCTCCCACCGTCTGCCCAGCTGCCCGGTGCGCCCTGGCTGCCCCCGGGATCCCAGGGCACTCCAGCCCGGCCTGCACCGCCCCGGCCCTGGGGCCAAGGTCGCCGAGCAACCCGGAAACACTCGGTCAGTCCGGCGGCGTGAGCGGGGAGACATGGCCCCGAGTGTCCTCAGCATGACCCCAGTGTCCTCAGCATAACGAGGGCCCCCCCAGACTTGCCGAACTCCCGCTCTGGGTAGCACAAATCTAGCTCCGAACTAGTGCCCCGCCCCGCTGTCTTACCTGAGCCGCGTGCACTAGGGGCTGCGCGTGCGCAAGAGTTGACAGAGCCCCGCCCCTCCCGGCGTTGACCCCGCCCCCAGGGCGTAATTAGCATTTATTGTCCTCTTGCTAGGAGCCTATCTCGACTGTGGCCTACATACTTCAGTCAAAACAACCCCATGCTGTGAAGATCTCATTTTACAGGGAAGGGGAAAGGCCTACCCCTCCCACAAGCACACAGCCTATAAAGACAGGACTCGGATTTGAACCAAGGCCGATAACTCCAAAGCCTGTGCTCATTCTTCCGCACCCTTCAGCCCAAAGTGTGATGGTCTCCAAGAATCAGCAGTACTGGCTTTCCCCTGGGAGCCTGTTAGAAAAGCAGATCCACCGGCTCAAAATCTGCTTTTTAGCCAGATCCCTAGACAATTCTACTGCAAATTAAGATTTGAGAAGTATAGCCCACAATACCCTGTAGGAGGATGAGGGGACGGGTAAAGAAATGGAACATAAAGGTCTACTGAGGCACCAGGTGCAACGCAAAGCCTGGACCGTGTTCCTATCAGTAATGTGCAGTATTGTAGTGGACAGCAAAACAACTCTCCCCACCCACTCACCTGCCTGGTGTTATAATTTCTTCTTTTTCTTCTTGGTTTTTTTTTTTTTTTAACTTCCTCTGTTTCGTTTCTTTTAGGTAAGAATAGTAAAGGTTTCATCTTTTCGTCCCACAGGGTGAAAACATTATCAAAATGAGAGGAGGGAATATTGTGGGGAAGGGACACCTGATAACGACTTTTTTGTCACCTGTTCCCTCTCTCTCTCTCTCTCAGACTAAAAACACACACAAATTAATTAAAAGAAAAGAAGGTAAGTAGAAATGTTCTCTTTAATCTCAAGTAAGGAGCTTTAAATAAACCTCCTCTGCTACTGCCACCAGGGCCAGGAACCAAGTCAGGAAGCACTGCCTGAGAGGTCCACCCCCACTTACCCTGGGCCTGAGTGGACCCGGGAGCCGAACTGCAAGCTGGGATCTCACAGGACCTGGGGGCACCTTGCACTCAAAGGCACGCCAGTGCAAATGCATCATGTAGCCTAGGTTATTTTGCCATCATTCCTGCCACTGTTTCCTCCCCTCATGCATGCCGTACAACTAGAGTGGAGAATTGTAAGGTTGACAGGTTGCCCTGAGCCTAGGGAGACTAACGAGAATAAGAGCTCCTATTACCAAATCAAAACAGCCCTGAATCCTCCTATAACTACGGGCATTAAGGTCAGAACAGGATCCAGCCATATTGTCTTTTTTTAATGTTTTACTCACGAAGATGCAAGCAAAGGACAATAACAAAGTTTGAATTAATATCTTAAAGTCTATCTTTCCCAGGGAAACAAAGGCTCTGTACAACGGAGGGGACAATCCCACTAAGCAGCTTGGCAGGGAGTCCAGTCCTACCCCTTTTCCTTTCAGGGAGGAAATTCTGAAATACACACCCTTCCCACCTTCAGTGAATAGCATCCTCTTATTATGTAAGGTAATAAGACCTTCAAGGGGGAGTGCTGTTTGGAAATTAAAAACACAGCAAAACACTCGCATATTCTAATTTTACCTTTTTTACAAACTTCAAAAAAATTAATCACAACTATAACAAAACCCAGACACCTATTCCTAACTAGGCACTCTCTTTGGTCAGTTCTGTCCTCTCAAAATAGAGATTAAAAGAAGTTAGCTAAAGAATTTATAAGCATTGGATACAGACAATAGACTGGTGAAGGTCTGGGGTGGGATGGGAGATGGGTGGAGGGGAGCAAAAGGGGAGAAATAAGCGTATTTATAATACTCTCAACAATAAAATAATTTTTTTAAGAAATGGAGATTAAAAGTTGCCCTCCCACATCCACCACTGCCTCAGTCAGATACTTTCTGTTGACATAAAGTTTCCACCATTCTATGATGCATGTGTTCCTATAGGCTTACATTTCTGAAATTGAAAGGCATCTCACAATTGCTGTGTACATTTGACAAAATGCTGTTATTAAATGAAGTCTTCTAGAACCCAGGAAATGTATTTCCCTTGTGGTCATAAAAATATTTCTCCTCAGAAGGTAAGAGTTCTGGGTTTGTTTGTTTGAGGCAGGAGGTGATAATGGTTCTTTTGAACATTTAATAGGAAATATAAACGGATGTAGGGAGAGAAATTGCAATATAGGTGATGTTGGCAAATGATTTAAAATTGTCCTGGGAAGTTACCTATAGCTATTTGCCACTCTTCTTCAAATTGTAATAGTGTGTCTAATTGTTCTCTTTTATAAGGTATTATTATCTCAGTAACTTCCCTTCCAAAGAGTTCGATACTGTGTCGTCTACCTTTGATAATGAGAGTGGCCACTAGGGAGGGATAGGATAGTACAATCTTCCTATTTTTTTTTTTTTTTCAGTACAAACCAAAAGACTTTATTTCTTAAACCAACTGGTAAAAAAATAAATAGTGAATAACACAAAAACCACAGGATCCTAGCCACACCTCCCACTGAGGTCTAAGGCAGGAGACACGGACACCTAAAGAGGGGAGGGAGAGGCCACAGTGTGGCTCAAGAGTGTGGCCTGGACACAGGATGTGGGCAAGGTCTGGGTCGTGGCGGGTATGGCAGCCAGAGAAGAGGGAGGGTTCCCGAGGCGTGCCCAGGCCCTGGCCCGAGCTGCAGGGGTGAGGCAGAGGCCCAGTTTCTCCTCAGCCTGGGCAATTCGGCGGGCAAAGCGGCTTCGATCCCGGGCACACTGCTCCCAGGAGCTCCTTCGGGCAGCCTGGGCTGGTCCAGCCCAGACAATCAGGAAATGGATGGAGACCTTCTCAGAGAAGTGCACCTTTCTGGCCTTTTGGGGAGTCTCGGGGTCCGGATGCTGGATGGGGGTTCCTGCAGACTTGAGCCGCCTTTGCAGGCGGAGGGGCAGCCGAGGAAGAGGCTAGGGAGGTGGTGGCTTCTCTCCTGGTAGATAGATGGCCACTCAGAAGGACTCAGCTTCTCCCCATTCCTCAGCAGCCTCCACTCCCTCTGTGTCCTTTCCAGGTGGGTATGTCCAGTTCCTGAGGAGGGCACTCTGGGCCTGAAGGGAAGAACTGGAGTCCGAGCCAGCTATCTCGGAACCATCTTTCTCATCCTCATTCTCCTCCTCTGTGTCCTCTCCTGGCCGGTACACCCAGGCCCTCAAGAAGGTACTTGTGGGGGGAATGGAAGAGGGACCCTCAGCTTCTCCCTCCTCCTCAGATGCTCCTGAATCATTGTCTTCATCTTCCTCCTCTGTGTCCTCTCCTGGGCAACACACCCAGGCCCTCAAGAAGGTACTTGTGGTGGGGATGGCCGACAGACCCTCAGCTTCCCCTGAAGCGTTGTCCTCCTCCTCTTCCTCTGTGATCTTCTTGGGTTGGTGCTGCCAGGTCCTGAGCAGGGGCCTGTGGCTTAGAACTGAGGAGTGTGGCTCTGAGTTGGCTTCTTTCTCAGCCTTTCCATCCTTTTCCTCAGATTCCTCCCCTGAATTACACTCCCAGGCGCTGGGGCGGGAGCCTGCAGATGAAGAGGTAATGGAGGTCTTCCCGGTGTCTTCACTCTCTGTTCTTTCTTCCTCCTTAGCTCCAGCCTCTCCTTCCCCTGCAGCACACACCCAAGCACTGGGCTTGGATCCTGGGGACGAGGGGCAAGTAGATGTTGTGGGAACTTTATTTACAGCTTCTCCATCCTCCTCCTCCTCCCTCCCTGGACAGTGCTCCCAGTGTGATGGAGGGAAAAAGAAGAATGTCATCACTTTATCTTCAGCAACTCCTCCTTCCTCAGTTTCCTCTTCCCCAGGAGGGCCTTGCAGGGTTCTCAGAAGGCTGAGGGACATGGGAGCAGGCTGGCCACCTATATAGGCACTTCCTTGCTCTTTAGGGATGCTGGTTGCTTCTTCCCCACCATGTTCTTCATCATCATCTAAAAGTTCCCAGGCTTCAGGAAGAGAACTGTTGGCCTCTCAGTCAGGGCAGGCCGATCTGCCATCCTCCACAGCTCTTCCACTGTCTCCAGGCTCCTGCTGAGGGTGCCCACCCCATGGGGCATAGTGGGTGGCCAAAGCAGCCTTAGTCACTTCCTCCAGGCAAGCTTCTCCCTGATCTGCACTCATTACTGCTTCCTCCAGCCAGGGCTTTAGAGGTCCAGGGTTCATGTCCCTGTTCAGGCGCCAATTGTTGGGGTTCAACTCCAGCAGGTCCAGGGGTTCCCAAAGGTGTGGACGGAGTCGGCGAAGAAGGAATGACACGGAGACAGCGTTCAGTTGATCAGCAGCCTACCCAGGATCTCTAGCCAGGATCTCCAGCCAGGTTCTGTCCAGGATCTCCAGCCAAATTCTGTGTTTTATTGTCTTGTTACATCTGTATTTATACCAGTTGATTTTAATCCTGTCAATTTCTATTCCAAAGGTTAGGGAGTTTCTTATCTCCATTCCAGGGAGTAAAGATTATGTAGCTTAAGCGTGATTGTTCGTAGTTAAAGTGATTAACTACCCTCCTGGCACTTAGTTAAGGGGTTTTATTCCCTCCCTAACTCCAGGGAAAAATCCCTACCTGGGGAAACAACCTTTCTCAGAGAGGTGACCTTGGTTAAAACACATAGTGCCAAGAAGGTGAGCAAACATATTAAGAACAGTATGCCATATACGCCAGGTCCCTTGAAACATATGCTGTGCAGATGTTCCTTCCCTGCAGCGACTGTGTCAAGCAGCAAGGATGGACCGGCTTCCGGCATTTAGGCCTTTCTTGCAGGTTGTATTTCAATAAGATCCCACTATGCTTGCATCAGGAAACCTTGACACACCAAGTAGCACATTGCACAGCTTCCTTGCTTCCTAGGCTAACTGCCCCTCTCCTGGTAGTCGAAACCCAGAGGCACACAGTGGTTTTATACCCTCATTGGTTAGCTGATTCCCATCCCAGAGCCACCTGACTAGTTCCTCCACCTTTACCAACTCTGTGTGGTTCTCAGGTTCCCCATAATCTCAAGGTCCCAGCTGTGATGCTCCCCGCTCCCCGCCCCCCACCTCCTCCTGTGCCACTTCGTCTACATTGGCTTGCATGGAGTGCAGTGCTTGGCATCCCATGGGGAGGGCCTGTCCCTCTGAACGGAAAGCCCACCTGTGCTTTTGCGGCGAGGTGCCATTGCACAGCACAGTGCCCTGGCTTGACTTTCAGTGCTCTTCTGGCCCTGGCCTACCAAGAGGGCAAAGAATGAGCAAACCTGACGCGGCTCACAGGCGGCTCTCAGCCTGTTGAGAGTGTTGCTCTGCCCTCAAGCACTGTCTCGAACCCCAGGAGCTTCATACTTGTGAAGGAGGCAGTGTGGTCCAGTGGGAGGGGCATGGCTTAGAAGTCAGGGGTCCTGGGTCTGTCTCTCTTGAAGTAGCCCCACCCTGCACTGTTGATATTTGGCTCTGTTGACTAATGAGTTTCTAGATTCTAGACGAGTCTCAACTGGGCTGACTGGGCACTTCAAGTCTCTGCCACATATCTGTTCCATGCCAGTAGGCTACCTCAGGAATGTCCTCATGGAGATGACAGAAACACAAGAAAGAGCAAGGCCTCTAGTGTTACAGACTTGCAAGCACCATACTTGCACTTCTGCTTCATTCTATTACCCAAAGCCAGGCACATGGTCAAGTCCAGAGACAGAGGCAGAGGACATTTCAAAGTTAAATGCCCAAGGGGGTGGATGCAGAGAGGGTAAAAGATCATTCAACCCATCAGCAAGACCTATCAATTCTACGTTAGAAATACTTTCCACACCTGTCCAATACTCCTTCTATCTTATTGCTACCACCACTTCAGTTCACCATGTTCTCTCTTACCTATCACCACCTGACTGCTCTGTCCAAATCTTTCTTGTCCATTCCTTCTCAGACCATTCTCAATGCAGCAATGAGAATAAACTTAAAAAGAAAACCTGCTCTGACCACTCATTTAATTAAGTCTGCCAAATGGTTTCCTATTGTTCTCAGGATAAAGGTGAAAATCCTGAGTAAGGCCTGAATTGTTTTCAATTTTCAATTGATGGGTTATTTTAAAGCAAATAGGTGAACCTGGTGAAAGGGAGAAAGAGTGAAGAGGGAGTGTGGGAAAGAGAGGTTTTGTAATGACTTCCATGTGAGGACAGCCTGGGAGCCCTTTCTCCCACTTCATCTCCTTCCATCCTTTCTCTGACTTATGGTTGGAACACATCATCATTCCCCAACTTGTACACTATTTCAAGCCTCTGGGGTCTTACTTGGACTGCTCTGTTTCCAAGTAGAGTTCTTTATCCCTCCTTTTGGTACGGATTCAAAACTCTCTGCCTTATCCCCTGTTGAAAGAAGAGAGGAGAAGAGCCTTGATTGGTTTGGCTCAGTGGATAGAGCATTGGCCTGCGGACTGATGGGTCTCAGGTTCAGGAGAGGAAGAGGAGGGGGAGAGGAAGACAGGTTTCATTCCACGAATTGCTTTTTGCTAATAAGAAAACTGTATACCTGATTCAATTAAATAATTACTTGTTAGATATTTAATATGTATTATTGTCTATTAACAGATTCCATTCTTACCTTCATTGTGGAAGTTGCCTATAATGGTAATATAATCAACCCTTGGTCTAATATTCTCTGATCCTCAGCTGTTTTGCACCTGGGGTTTGCCTTTTGTCAAAAGGCTGGGGGAGGGGTGTTGGATGAGAATTAAATGACTTTCTTCTCATGTGAATGGGAGGAGCCGTTTATTCCACCTCCTGAGCAGCTCTATTAAAAGCTATCACTGCCCCTATAGCGCCGGTTCATTCACATGGACCCAGCATGGCCGATAAGTCAAAATTTATTGACTACATTGATGAAGCTTTGGAAAAATCTAAAGAAACTGCACTTTCTCGCTTGTTTTTCACCCATCAGGGGATTCCTTACCCTGTCACCATGTGCACCTCAGAAACCTTCCAAGCCTTGGACACCTTTGAAGCCAGAAGGGATGACATCCTGCTGGCATCTTATCCAAAGTGTGGTAAATAGAAGCTCATGTTCACTTTGTCATGACATAGTGCGTGGGTAGGGCAGGGTGCAAGGCCAAGGTGGGAAGAAGCTAGCCAGAAATCAGTGAGGAGCGGGCCAAGAGGGGTCAGAGCACAGGTTGCCAAGTCAATAACTGAAATGGCTAGATTTGGAAACCACAGGATCTGAGGAAGGAGGTGTATGTGTGAAATGAACGTGATGGCTGGTGGGTGTAGAAGGAGAGAGATGCACAGAAGGGCCGGAAACAGAAACACGAATGCAGGAAAGTCTGGTTGCCATGGAGCACTGACTGTAGTAGAGATTTTCATCCTGATTTTTGACTGAAGAAAAACCATGGCCACTTCCATAATTTAGGTAATGATTTCCATGTAACGGGTTCTTTTTCAGGACCAAGCATCAATCCTCCCGTTTCTCAACCCAGCTTTATAATGGTCGTTCATCGGTGGACAATAAGACATTAAGAATCCAAATTATCTAATTTTACACCATCTACTTTTGATTCTTTTAACCGCAATTTTATCTCTGTTTATTAAAGCCTACCTCACTCATTTAACATTTTTCTTTCTCTTAACTGATGCTGGGATTTTATAAAATCAAAGTTATATACTCCTATTGAAAATATTCATTAATGTAAGATAAAATAACATATGATATATAAAAGCAATCATTGCCACAGCATACAATTTTTCTATAATGAACATGTTATAACTAGAAAAGAAATACTGTCTCATGTTAAAGGAGAAATCTGAGTAATAAGTTGAATTTTATATTAATGTAGAGAAAAAAGTTGAATTTTATATTAATGTAAGTAAATACTGTTTTCCACAAACCTTAGTTTCTTGCCACAGCCTAGGTTATTTTAAACACAGAAGAACCAACTGTATACATCAGGGAATGGTGGTTCATCTTACTTTTTATGATGGATATGCTAAAGTAACATGCCTTTACTATATCAAGCCTCTTTAGTGAACTTTGATTGTCTGATTTTTCTTTGAGGTTCAAATTGGATTCTTCACATCATTAGTGAATTAATATTTGCTGATTCTAAAAAAAAGTATGAATATCCAGAATTCCCAATTCTTGAATGTGGAGACCCAGAAAAATATCAGGTTAGTATAAAACAGCCTGTACACTTATAGCAAATTATTAAAGAAAGATTTCTTCCGTTTGGGGGATCTTTTAGTTTTGAGTTCAGAACGTACAATACTTACAATTATTGTAAGTTATTGTGTGTTTACCATATCCCCAGCACTTTTCAGGGATCATCTCATTTTATTACAGAATAACCTTATCACCATATTACAAAGGATAACACTGTGTAGAGACTTGCTTAAGGTCAAGGAGGTAATAAATTGCAGGGCTAAGATTTGAACCCAAGTTTTCTGATTTGAGTTGTTAACCTAGTCTATACAGTATAGCCAGCTTATAAAAAATAAAAAAAAAAAAAAAAAGAGGGAAAGCTTCCCTGTAAAAAGGGAGTCTTTTCAGAGCATCTGAATTAACATGAAAAATGTTCTATAAGGTGAGTGAGACACATGGCTGTAGCTCTAGGGTTTCTGGAAAATGTCTTAACTCTGTATGGTATTTGGGTTTTGAATATCTGTAACTTATCAGAATTTTTTTTTTCCTCCAGGTAATTTTAAAAACATTTTTTTGTATTTTTGTAATTTTATCATATGTAAGAACAAAAATATTTTTGTATGCAACTTGCATAGAACTCCACATAAAAGATATTCACTTTACAGAAAACTTTTCTAAAATACATATATTTTCTTAAATGAGACATAGTTATATCTAGTCTTTACATTGCTTACTGTTTGGTTATATCACATTTTCATGAACATATTATTATATGTTTATCTAGTTTTGTTAGAATTACCTCCCATTTGCCCCTTGGATATTTTTCTAATCCTTTTAGGAACTTTGCCATTTCTCACATGTCTTTATGGTGGAAAAAGGACTCTATCACTTAATCTGAAAATTACCACCTGTGTGATTCTTCAAAACCTCAAAGCCTATGGTTAATCTCTAAAAGGAGGGTTACAATATCTACCTGAGAGGATTATTGTAAATGAACCTAAAAGTACATATAAAACTAAAAAGTGCAATTTTTATAAATCAAGTATTATGACTCCCAGTCACCACGTGGACCCATACCATTGAATGTAAAAGAGATACGAATTCAGGCAAAGAGTGGATTGCGGATTATGAGCATTTTTGAACAAAATATTTGGTATGATTGTGAGAAAACGTAAATGTTTTTAAAAAAATGATAGGCAGTATCCAACAAGGAAGTTCAAAAGGAGGATTTTAACTATTTATTCATTTATGATTCTCCACTCCTCATCTGCACAAAGGAAATAGACATGTAAAAAAAAAAACAAAAAAAAAAAAGAGGAGGAAGAGAAGACACTGCAATAGTGATGCTTAAAACTACTATCAGACACTCACTAAGTTTAGGAGTGATTCACTATACACATAAACACACACACACACACACACACACAAACACGCACGCACATGCGCACGCACACACTTTCACCTTGTTGTGTATATTTTTAAGAGAATGAAACAGTTTCCATCGCCAAGGATTTTGGCAACTCATCTCCATTATGACAAACTACCTGGGTCCATCTTCAAGAATAAAGTTAAGGTGAGTGTCCTTTTCTACTGGTATTTCAGTGTGAAGTTTTTAATGTATAGCTATTGGCTTTCTGAGCTATATGATGAATTTGTTACTCACATAGACTTTTAATAAATGACATGTAAGATTTGGGCATTTCTTTTGTTGTTTCTTTCCTCAGATGTATCTGTTGTAGTTGCATAAATCAAAGGAATTTTCTGCTAGGATATATAACATACATATTTTAAAATCCGTTTTATAGTGAAGAGATTTCAGAACCCCACTAGGATAATTAGTGTTTAACAAATGAATACAAACTAGAAAAATAAGCAAAAAGTGTTCCTTTAGTTCTATCTGGTGAGCACTAGTTACCTGAAGTCTGAAACGATTTTATTTCTGAATTTCACATGTAATAGCAAACTTCATGTCATACATAAATTACTATAGGTGTTTTGGCTACTCTTTTTTGTTTAAAAAAAAACTTGTTTTATTAAACAGTATTGATCTATTCTCATAATTATTAGTTTTTATCCGATCCTTTTTTGTTTTCACCTGACTCTCCCCAATTCCTTATTTCTGGGTGCCTCTTTTCTCTGTCTCAGGAGCAAAGATGAGAATTAATTAAAATAAGGATTCAAACTCTTGAATGCCACAAATAGGAATGAGAGGATAGGGCAATAATAGCAAAGAAAGTGGGAGGAGGGAAACAGCTAAGATAACTGCAATGGTAACAGGAAAGAGGGGAAATAATGGAGGAGGAAAGAAATCACTAGGGAAGTGCAGGCTTAAAATTAGTGCCTTGTAGCCAGGGTACAGGATCCTAGGAACTTAGAATTGGAAAATACCTTAAAGGTCATCTACTCTGCCCTAGCCAGTTTGGCTCAGTGGATAGAGCACTGGCTTAGGGACTGAAGGGTCCCAGGTTCGATTCCGGTTGAGGGCACATGGCCGGGTTGTGGGCTCGATCCACAGTAGGGGGCGTGCAGGAGGCAGCTGATCAATGATTCTCTCTCATTATTGATGTTTCTAGCTCTCTCTTCTCCCTTCCTCCCTGAAATCAATAAAAATATATTTAGAAAACAAACACACAAAAAAGGTCATCTACTCCAATCATCACGAGGTGTTTGAATTCCAGTAAGTGGCTGTCTGGATTCTGATTTATAAAACATTTGGCTTTGGAGAGAAACAGTTTCACTGTCACAGGGATACAAGGGAAGTGGCCAAGGGAAAAGAAAAAAAAAAAAGCCAAGGGAAGTGGTTGATGCTGGGGATTTGTCCACATCCAGCTGGCCTTCACTGTTCAAATTTATGGCTTTGTAAAATTATAAACTGCTACAAGCCAGGGAAACTAATAAATGTTAGCCAAAGCCCCAAATATAACACCCTCAAGTGACAAAAATTGGCTATCTTTGGATTGGGGGCAAGGGTAGGTGAAATATATAGATCCCAGCTCATTTATCTCTATTCAATTGTATCCTGTATTTCTTTATTTTTTAAAATATATTTTATTGATTTTTTACAAAGAGGAAGGGAGAGAGATAGAGAGTAAGAAACATCAATGAGAGAAAAACATTGATCAGCTGCTTCCCGCACACTCCCTACTGGGGATGTGCCCGCAACCAAGGTACGTGCCCTTGACCAGAATCGAACCTGGGACCCTTCAGTCCGCAGGCTGACGCTCTATCCACTGAGCCAAACTGGTTAGGGCTCTTGTATGTCTTTAGACCAAGCATGTCAAACTCAAAAGCTAACATGAGCCAAATAAATGAGGCATGTGGCCCACAGGCCATGAATTTGACATGCTTGCTTTAGACTGACAAGGTGTTTTGAGATCCTGATTCCCTTTCAGTTTCATGTCATCTACAAATCTGATAAGTATAGCTTCTATATCTTTACCTAAATCAACCATTAAAACGATGGCCTGGTCAGGACATGAGAAATGCCTCAAAACCCCTCCAGGCATGTTTACCTTAATTATTTAGCCTCCTTTCACAGGAGTTCTATATACTTAATTGCTTCTGCTTTCAGCTTACAATCTTCCATTTTGTAGAAGAAGTAATTAGCAACAAATTACTAATTTAGAAACTGTCTAAGGAAAGCTTGGTGCCCCCTGGTGGTCGACTTCTTGTATGTGATCCCAAATCATCTATTTAGTCAATTCTGGAAAACTTCCCCCTGACGGAAGTCAGGTTCACAAATCTGCAGTTTGCCAATCCATGCCTGCCTCCTTTCTGAACCTGGAATGATTTCTGCCAATTTCTAGTCCTCGGAAGCTTTTGTGTGTTGTCTCAGATTCCTCAGTGGCCATTAACAGTGCTCAATACTGTATTCTTCAATTTCCTCAGTTCTTGAAATGGAATTCGTTAGGCCAGAAAGCCCAACTAAATTCACTTAGAGCAGCCAGATATTCTCCTGCAATCATTTGGTTCTCTTGGGTTTCAATGTGCTCTTCACAATGTTCATTTCACACTTTTCATTCAAAAGAACAAATTCACTCCTCATCAGAGAGGACAGGCATAACATGGGAAGTCAGAGTTCTGCTGCATCTACATCAGCCATCACACCTCGGGCCCTGGAGAGTAGGCCTGCCATTCTTTGATCTTCTGACACCAAACTCTACACATTGTCCTTAATATTTACTTTGCTTAAGGGTTCAACCTCTTAGCTCATGTGCTTATGAGCTTGCTCTTTCATTCCTTTTTTATACCTTCTATGTATGCCTCTTTACTGTCTAAACTCATTAGCAAAAGTCTTCTCCTACAACATCAATGTTCTTTTTCTTCTTTTCTCCCCTCTCCCAAGACTTCCCCATCTGTCACCTCCAATTCCTCAGTTTTTTACGATCATTCTTTCTCTACATATTAACAAAAGTATGTAGCATACAAAGGACACATGATTTTGCCCACCCTTTCACTTTTCCAAAGTTGAAAACATAGACCTAAACCAATTAACTTAGTTTTATCTCCCTAGATACTGGTAATATTTCGAAATCCTAAAGATACTGCAGTATCTTTTTTCCATTTCCACAATGATGTCCCTGATATTCCAAGCTATGGCTCTTGGGATGAATTCTTCAGACAATTCATGAAAGGACAAGGTATGACGGTTGGTAAAATAATTCTCCTTACTTTGACAGATGATCACATAAATATGAAAATTCAAATGTGTTTTAGGGTAAAGAAAGAAAGGAGATTAAGGCGGATCCAGGAACCAAAAATAACTTTTAAATGAAATGTTATAGCCCCACTAGTTCTGTGTATCAAACAGTACATTACTGTTCTTAAAAATAATGTAGACGATTTATATGTTGACTATGAGTATGAGTGGCCATATAGACATGGGACAAAGAGGCTTAAAACAGAGTCATGTAGAAAAGTGTTTCTAGTTCCTTTCCCTTAAGTTTCTGTCTAACATGATAACAAGCACAAATAGATAAAATCATGACATTGAGTAACCACAACTTATGTATTTATTTACCAGAAAGGAAATGAATTTTTTATTAGACCATGTTGATGTTTTACTCTGGTTATTGATAACTACAATTGTAGAAGTGCCTACTAATGCTCCAGGTATTAAACTAGATGTTATAAATCCATGATTTCATTTCAGACCATAACAACCTATAAGTAAGGCAGTATTGGTCCCATGGCACGAATGAGGAAACGAATCAAAAAAGTTAAATCACTTGCCACTGGCCCTACTGCTTGTAAGTGGCAGTGACTCTGCTTCCACAGGTTAACTACTGCCTTCTTTTAGTAGCGGTTCTGTTGAGTTTTCATAGTGGAGAAGGAAGAACTAATGCCAGGTGAGCCTTGAGGAGAAATCATTGCCAGGTCCCTCTAAGAAGATTGCTTTTAAAGGTGATCACCCAGCAATGCCATGCCATCCCACATGCATGGACGCTGGGTACAGCACTGGCTCCTTAGTAAAGATCAAACATTGGGATTGGGATGTTGGAGAAACACAAAGTGCACAGGAGATGTTTATGAGGCACCATTAAGAAAGCTTTGGTTTGTCTGGTAACTACTCACTAAGACTGGATGGAGGTAGTGAAGGCAAGTCTGAAACATTACCCCATTAATAATACAAGAGAGCATTCAACCATGAGAATCTTTGTTGCCCTATCCATCCTTTTGGCCTAATTATTTGATGGACTATGATGAGATATGGTGGCAATAACTTGGAGGGAGTTTCTGCCTTGTGAACTTAAAAATTCAGCTTAATGGAGGCAGCTCAATACACTGGAAAATGTGTATGATTTGTAATGAGAAGGCCTGGATTAGGATTCACCACCTCTTATTATATATTAGTGATTTATATTAGATAAAATAGCTACCACCTACTTAGCAGTGACTACTTGCCAGGCACTACATGCTATCATTAACACACGTTATTTAACTCTAATTCTCAAAGACCCCTAGATGGATAATACTATTATTATCCCCATTTAATGAAGAAAGAAAGAGAGATATAGAAAGGTCACACAGCTATTAAGTAGCAGATTAATTAATGGCTTCTTTTAGTAGTGGCTCTGTTTTCCAACTGTACGTTTTATGAAGTCTAAACACACACCAAACGATTCTGATAAAAACTTAGTATTCTGGCTTCTAAGACTTAAAATACAAAAATAGTATGTAATGTTTCATAAATAATGTTTATGTCCATTACATGATGAAGTAATACTATTTTGTCGTATACTGGGTTAAATAAAATAAAATGTTAAAATTAATCCCACCTATTCCTTTTTTTTTTTAATGTGGCTAATAGAAAATTTTAAATTACAGGTATAATTTAAATTTTGGACAATACTGACCTAGATAATATCTGTCACATCATTTCTTTCTGGCATTATCTCTGTCAGTTTTCATGTATCAATCACTATTTCTGAATTATTTTATTCACCTAAATATTCATGAATGTCTTGCAGTTTTTATCAAACCATTTTACAACTTGCTTAATTGTGTTGTTATTTATGAAGATAAAATGAACAAATATCTAATAAGACTGGCTATGCCAGTTCTCTTGGAGCAGGGATTTAATATAACTTATAAACATCTTGTTTGAGCTCAATCAAATATAGATAGTTTATATTTTAACCTCCATTATTTTAAATTCCTTAAGATTTTTTTCTTGTGTTTTTAGTTTCTTGGGGAAGCTATTTTGACTTTGCAATTAATTGGAACAAACATCTTGATAATGAAAATGTTAAGTTCATATTATATGAGGACCTGAAAGAGGTGAGATTATGATTATTGATATTCTACAGCAAGATTTATTATAAACTACAACATGGAACACTTATATATAATGTCTGGATGTATGAACACATATTGTATTCAATGAAAAAGAAAGAAGAATATTCAGATGTGTGTATACTGTTAGGGAAAACAAACAACGCATAAGTGCTTAGGTTGACTATTTAATATAAATAAAATAATGCTTAGCAATTTATAACTAACAGTTGCTGCTTTATTTTCCTTTTATGATAGATGGTCCAAATTAGGAATGAGAAAAGCAATAGGTAGGTCTTAACTGAGATTTAATTGAACATGCATTCGACTTTGGATTTATGTTTTCCATGTAATTTTCAATTGTTTATTCACAAACAGTGAGTGATTGCTCAGCATGGTTCTAGGCCCTTGGGATACATCAGTGAGCAGACCAGACACATTTCCCTGCCCTGGAGAAGCTGACATTCTCCCTAGAGAAGGCAAGAAGACAGAGTGATAAATAATAAACAATAAAAATAAAAATGTGTATGATAGTGAGAAAAAGGAAATGGCATAGCTGACTAAGAAAACACTGGGAATGCCTGAGGATAGGGGATGGGGACGCTAGACAAATCCCAGGATAAAATAGGATGGTCAGGGGAAACCTCATGGAGAGGATGGGATTTAAGCAAAGATCTGAAGGAAGTGAAGGAGTGAGCCATGTGGGTAACTGGGCCCAGAGCTTCCCAGGCAGAGAGAATCAACTGAAGCAAAGGCCCCGAGGGAGGAGCTCCTGTATGATGAAGGGACGGGAAGCAAGCAGATGTGCCTGGGTCAGTAGAGGTGAACAAGGGGGCACTAACCAGTGAGAACACCACCCATGTTGGGTGGAGTGTGAGGAATGGCCTGGCAGTTCATTGAAATGACTTCGGCTTTCACTCTGCGTGAAACAGAAAGCCACTGTAGGATTCCAGCAGACATGTGATAGAAGTTGACATGTTTTGTTTTTTTTTGGTATTTATTTTATTGATTTTTTACAGAAAGGAAGGGAGAGGGATAGAGAGTGAGAAACATCGATGAGAGAGAAACATGGATCAGCTGCCTCTTGCACACCCCCTACTGGGGATGTGCCCGCAACCAAGGTGCATGCCCTGACCAGAATCAAACCTGGGACCCTTGCGACCGCGGGCTGATGCTCTATCCACTGAGCCAAACCAGTCAGGGCGAAGTTGACATGTTTTTAATAGGATCACTCTGGCTGGTGTGTGAGAACAGACTGGAGAGGAACAAAGTACAGGGAAAACTAGGAGGCGGCTCCTGTAGGAAGGAATCCAGCCAAGGGAAGATGGTGGCTCAGGCCAGAAGCAGCAGTGGAGGTGATGAGAAGCGGTTTACTTATAGCTTTATTCGAAGAGAAGCATCAGCCCTGGCCGGTGTGGCTCAGTGGATAGAGCATTGGTCTGCGGACTGAAGGGTCCCAGGTTCCATTCCGGTCAAGGGCATGTACCTCGGTTGCAGGCTCCTTCCTGGCCAAAGCCCTGGTTGGACGTGTGCAGGAGGCAGCCAATCGATGTGTTTCTCTCACATTGATGTTTCTCTCTGTATTTCCCTCTCTTTTCCATTCTCCCTAAAAATCAATGGAAAAATATCCTTGGGTAAGGATTAACAACAATAAAATTTAAAAAAAAGACTATCATCGTAGATAAAATTCTAACATATTAATTAATACTTACTATCATTATTTATATCCTAAGTAGTGGAATAGGAATTCTAAATTAAAACCGTAAAGTAAAACCAATACAGAATATCTTCTAAGGATATCTCGACTATTTATACAGAGGTATCAAATTAAATCTAAGTAGAAAGATAGACAGTTGAGTTAAACAGGCTTAATGAATCCATTCTGTCTAAGAAACCTGTCTTTGTTCACAGCACGATTCCCATAGAAAGTTGGTTATCCTTTACATTTTTGTTTTTAGAATCTGGCCACTGGAATAAGACAAATTGCCGAGTTCTTTGGATTCTCTCTCACTGGGGAGCAGATTCAAACTATCTCCGCTCAGAGTACCTTCCAGGCAATGCGAGCAAAGGCCCAGCAAACACACGGGGCTGTTGGCCCGTTCCTGTTCCGCAAAGGTAAAGTGGCATTGGTTTCTAGGACATCTGTCCATTTGTACGTAACAGACGATCCCTGTGACTTGATCTTAAATGAGATAGGTTTTTCTCTTCCTCCCAGCAAGAAGGCTGGAGACAGTTCAGAGCTGGAACTGGAGGTTCCGCAGTATCTCTTAGATACTGCGTTCCTTCCACCTTTCTGCTCGTCACCTTGTGTGATGACAAGGGAGCAACGAGAGCTCCGCCATTACATTAAAATTAAAGGATTATTTTTATTAAAATGAAAAGGGAAAGGCAAGAGACAAGAGTCATGTGTATCAGCTCAGTGAGACCCCTTTTAAGAGCTTTGCTGGAAGCCTCACTCAGTGACTTACACTTGTTTAGGGAGAAAGGAAGGGAGAGGGAGAGAAACATTGATTGGCTGCCTCCTGCAGGGATCAAACTGCTGATGATCAAACAATTGAACCAAACTGGTCAGGGAAACTTCCTTTATTTTTAAAAGCAAATATGAAAAACATATCCTAATCCCAGGCAAATAATCACTCTTTGCAAATTTTCAGTATCTGAGGTCTTAACCAAAACTTGCTGTAAAATGTTAACTTCTCAAGGATATTTAAGCTATTTAAAATACTTTAGAGAGGAAAAAACTGGCTCTCAAGAAACTAGAATTTTAGGTTCTGAGTGCTGGGAGAGAGATGGAGATGGGAGATCATTGAGGCCAAGAAAGCAAGTCACCGCCCTGGTCAGTGTTGCTCAGTGGTTAAAGTGTCAGCCATGCAGGGAAGGGTTTCAGGTTTGATTTCTAATCAAGGGCACATACCTGGGTTGCAGGTTCATTCCAGGCTCTAGTTGGGGGGCCTGCAGGAGACAACCAATCAAGATGTCTCTCTTACATTGATGTTTCTCTCTCTCTCCCACCCCCTCAACTTCCCCCCCTCCCCACTTCCACTCTTTCATTCTATCTAAAAGCAATGGAAAAAATATCCTCAGGTGAAGATTTAAAAAAAAGAGCATGTCACCTACTATATCACAGATGGAGAAGTCCCAATGTATACTGTTAATTTTACAAAAGGAATTACATTTATTTTGTTTTTTAAAATCTATATAATAAAAGCCTAAGCGACCATTATGGTGGAACGACCAAAACAACTGGTCGCTATGATGTTCACTGACCACCAGGGGGCAGATGCTCAACACAGGAGCTGTGCCCTGGTGGTTAGTGCACTCCCACAGGGGGAGAGCCGCTCAGCCAGAAGCCGGGCTCATAGCTGGCAAGTGCAGCGGTGGTGGCTGGAGCCTTTCCTGCCTCTGCAGCAGCGCTAAGGAGCAGCCAGCCAAGTGGTAAGGAGCAAGGGATCCCACACTGTGAGAAGGCGCAGGCCAGGCTGAGGGACCTCCCCTCAGTGCATGAATTTCATGCACCAGGCCTCTAGTATATATATTTTATTGATTTCAGAGAGAAAGGAGGGAGAGGGAGAGGGAGAGTGATAAAAACATCAATAATGAGAGAGTCATTGATCGGCTGCCTCCGGCACACCCCCTACTGGGGATTGAGCCTGCAACCCAAGCATGTGCCCTTGACTGGAATTGAACCTGAGACCTTCCAGTCCACAGGCTGACACTCTATCCACTGACCCAAACCAGCTAGGGCTACATTTGTTTTGAAGACTAATTTTTTTCATGTGTTCATTTTCACATTTCAAAGTGAAACACTACAATGAAAAATGGTAAAATAAAAAATATTCTAACAGGCGTCTGTGTCTACTTTTTTGTGTGTGTGCTGTAGGTGAAGTTGGTGATTGGAAAAATCTGTTCAATGCAACTCAGAACCAGGAAATGGATGAAAAATTCCAAGAGTGCTTAGCAGGCACTGTCCTAGGAGCAAAGTTGAAGTATGAATTGTATTGCCAAGCTTGATTCTGGTCAGTTCATCCAGCCTGGGTGTTTTATTTTCTTTAATAATAACTGAATTTAAATAATTACATAATAAATTGATCCAATAATCAAATAATTACAAATAACATGTAGAGATAAACAACACAAAGTTAACAATAATGATAACACCTGAAGCTTTTCAGCAAAAACTTAAGTTTATTCACTTTTTGAGAAAAGGCCACTTAGCTAAAGGAGGGATATTAAATAAATGTATCTAATATGCCTGGCTGGTGTGGCTTAGTAGATTGAGCATTGTCCCATGGACCAAGAGGTTTGATTCCCAGTCAGGGCACATGCCTGGGTTGCGGGCTCGATCCTCTGACGTGCAGGAGACAGCCAATCAATGTTTCTCTCTTGTTGATGTTTCTCTGTCTCTCTTTCTCCTTCTCCCTTCCCCTCTGAAATCAATAAAAATTTTTTTTAAATGTATCTAACATGAAAATAAAATAAAGACCTTTTATATATTAAAAACTGGGAGAAATAGTCCCTAACGTATGTGCACTACAAGGAATATTCAACGAACTGGTATAGGTAAAAGGAACACAATACCAATTGGAAATTTCAATCTACACAAGGAATAAAGAGCACCAGAAATGGTACATATGTGAGTATATATAAGAGCCATTTGCCAGATAGCCTCAGGCAAAGGCTAGATTAGCACCTCCCTAGAGGACAGAAGTTTTCCCACTGCAGACACAGCTGATTCTCACAGCCAGTTGGCCTGGAGGTCAAATCCCCCTAGTATTAACTACAACAATCAAGGCTTAACTACAACAAGACTGCACACAAAGACCACTAGGGGGTGCACCAAGAAAGCATAAAAAATGCGGAGACAAAGAAACAGGACAAAACTGTCAATGGAGGATATTGAGTTCAGAACCACACTTTTAAGGTCTCTCAAGAACTGTCTAGAAGCCGCCGATAAAGTTATTGAGAGCTACAAGAAATCTAATGAGACCCTCGATGTTATGATAAAGAACCAACTAGAAATTAAGCATACACGGACTGAAATACAGACTCACAACAGCAGACCAGAGGAGCGCAAGAATCAAGGCAAAGATGTGAAATGCGAAGAAGCAAAAAACACCCAACCAGAAAAGCAAAATGAAAAAAGAATCCGAAAATACGAAGATAGTGTAAGGAGCCTCTGGGACAGCTTCAAGCGTACCAACATCAGAATTATAGGGGTGCCAGAAGATGAGAGAGAGCAAGATATTGAAAACCTAATAGAAATAATGACAGAAAACTTCCCCTACCTGATGAAAGAAATAGACTTACAAGTCCAGGAAGCGCAGAGAACCCCAAACAAAAGGAATCCAAAGAGGACCACACCAAGACACATCATAATTAAAATGCCAAGAGCAAAAGACAAAGAGAGAATCTTAAAAGCAGCAAGAGAAAGAAACTCAGTTACCTACAAGGGAATACCCATACGACTGTCAGCTGATTTCTCAACAGAAACTTTGCAGGCCAGAAGGGAGTGGCAAGAAATATTCAAAGTGATGAATGCCAAGAACCTACAACCAAGATTACTTTATCCAGCAAAGCTATCATTCAGAACTGAAGGTCAGATAAAGAGCTTCACAGATAAGGAAAAGCTAAAGGAGTTCATCACCACCAAACCAGTATTATATGAAATGCTGAAAGGTATCCTTTAAGAAGAGGAAGAAGAAGAAAAAGGTAAAGATACTAATTATGAACAACAAATATGCATCTGTCAACAAGTGAATCTAAGAATCAAGTGAATAAGTAATCTGATGAACAGAATGAACTGGTGATTATAATAGAATCAGGGACATAGAAAGGGAATGGACTCATTGGGGGGGAAAGGGGTGTGGGAGATGCGGGAAGAGACTGGACAAAAATTGTGCACCTATGGATGAGGACAGTGGGGGGGGGTAAGGGCAGAGGGTGGGGTGGGAACTGGGTAGAGGGGAGCTATGGGAGGGAAAAAAGAGGAACAAATGTAATAATCTGAACAATAAAGATTTAATAAAATAAAATAGAAAAAAAGACACACAAAAAAATTCCCAGTCATGGCACATGTCCAGGTTGTGGGCTTGGTCCCTAATGGGGGACATGCTGGAGGCAGCCAGTCAATGATTCTCTCTCATCATTGATGTTTCTGTCTCTCCTTCTCCCTTCCTCTCTGAAATAAAAAAAATATATATTTAAAAAATTTTTTTCCCAAAAGACCACCAAAAAAACCCTCCCAAACTATTAGAACCCAGGACTCTTCAGTCCTCAGGCCGATGCTCTATCCACTGAGCCAAACCCGTCAGGACTTCCCTTATTTTCTTGAGGACTTGATGGCATCATGTACCTGCAATATCCAGATGCAGTTTCAAGTTCCTGTTTGAGGAATGATATGTCCTCCAGTGGGAACAGAGCCGATGATGTCATAGGAGCAGGAAGCACTGATTTTGAAAGTGTGTGGTAAGGCTTACCTGTGGGAGACAACACTTTCAGTTTCCCTTCTACTGTTTCCTGGTTTCATGCAACTTGGTTTGGAGCATATATTGCACTTGAAGGACAGTACACGCAGCTTGCTGAGTGTTGTCTCCTACCTGGGTCTGTACCTGAGTCTTCACTGCTCCAGCCCACTGTCCTATAAGGCCAACTTTTGGGCAACGAGGTTCATAATAAAACCATTGAATCCTATGGTAGTCAGTGTACTGCCTCACTTCTTATTCTGTAGAATGGATTCCTTAGTGAGAGATACCATGATGGTGAACAAGGTATTCAGAATGTCCAACAATGATGGTGCTGGCAGAATCATCCATTCCTGCTGCACATCCTCTTCATTCATTCTGAATGAGCACTTGGGGGGAGCGGGCTGACTTCTACAGAAGTCCTCTTGCCCACCTGCTTCTCAAAAGCCTCCTCAGGAGTGGGCGCCTGTGATGAACACTCACAAGGGAACACGGTACGTTTGAACCCTGTGCCCAGAGCTACCGGGAAAATGTAATTCATAGCCATTGATAGCTGTCATAAGGTGGGATGTAGAAGAGAAGTGGAAAAGGTCTCCTGGAGCCAAGGCCCAATTGTTAACGTGCACTTGAGGTCCATCTTGGGACCACCTCTCTCCTTTCCCCTGGCTGAGATGTTGATGGGAGACTCCTGATTCTACTTCTAGCTCCCTTGCCTACCAGCTGTGGTGACGTAACTTCTGTCTCAAACCCCAGTTTTCTCGTCTGTTAAATGGTGGTAGTAATGGCACCTACCTTACCCTATTGTTGTGGGGTAAGTCCTCAGCATTCTTCAATCCACGTGTCCATGGACAGTTACAATTGGTTCCCAATGGCCAGGCCTTAGGATCACTCTGGGAGTGTGTCATAGTCCGTTAGGTGAGTAGGAGTTCTTATAAAGTGAGGATAACCGGTAAGGGCTTTGGTGATACACTCCATGAGGTCCCGCGGGGAGCGGGTGGCTCTCCGAACTGCCGAACTGGCTGGTGCTGGGCACAGCGGCTGGCAGGAAGCACCTGTTGAACGAACGGATGGACGGTGCAAACGTAAGATGATGATGCCCCCAGGCCTCGTCCTTCCGGCCTCGTAAATGGCACTGTAACTGTGGAAAGGGAAGGGGTGCTTTGGTGTGGGGCCTGTTCTGGCATTGAGTGCAGCCTGGGCCGCTTACCAGCCCCAGACTCTGGGCGAGTCAATTCACTGTTCCTTCTGTAAATGGAGCCGATAACTTCCACCCCCACCCTGAGCCCACCGTGGGAAGAGGAAAGGAGATGGTCTAAGCCTGGGCGCCCGGAGCCCGCGGCCAGCTGCCCACCGCCCGCGGAGTCTGACCTGCACGGGGTCCCGGACTCGCCCAGGGGCCGGGGTGGGGCCGCCGGGGCCGGGACACGCCCAGGCGCAAAAGTGGCGGCTGAGCGCCGGCCGCCCCGCGGGGCCTTCCGCGCGGGCTCGCGTCCCAGGCGCGTTTCCCGCGGTCCCGGAGCCGCAGATGACCTGTGCGGGAGCGGGCGGCCGGGAGGCGGAGTCCGCGGGGAAAACGAAACTGAGAGGAAGCAGCCCAGACCCGGCGGGGCTTCGCGGACAGCGGCGGCGCCTGGTGAGCGGGGCGGTCGGCGCGGGCGGGGGGCGCCCAGGAGCGGCGAAGGGCTCGGAGCGCGGGCGGCAGATGCGAGGGGCTCTCAGGTGCGGGGAGAGGCAGATGCGGGGGCGCCCAGGAGCGGCGAAGGGCTCGGAGCGCGGGCGGCAGATGCGAGGGGCTCTCAGGTGCGGGGAGAGGCAGATGCGGGGGCGCCCAGGAGCGGCGAAGGGCTCGGAGCGCGGGCGGCAGATGCGAGGGGCTCTCAGGTGCGGGGAGAGGCAGATGCGGGGGCGCCCAGGAGCGGCGAGCGGCCCGGAGCGCGGGCGGCAGATGCGGGGGCGCCCAGGCGGCGAAGGGCTCGGAGCGCGGGAGGTGCCCCGGCGCGCGCAGCCCGCGTCCCCAGCCCGGTGGTGAGGCAGGTGAGCGGCCCTGGAGCCCTGACCCCGCCTTTCCGGAGGCCCTGGGCCCTGACCCAGGCCCGCAGTGGGGGTGCGGGACCCCTCCGGGACACGTGCAGCGTGCTGGGAACGGGAAGTCATTATCTGCTGGTGAACTTTTTATTAGAGCAAGTGAGGCACAGCCCAGGCCGCGGAGTGGGGGCGCGGGGGGAGTGAGGGGGAGGGGCGGGGCAGCTAGTGGAAGCCGGTAAGTCTTACGACTTGACTGAGCGATGGGCAGTATGGGGGCTGCAGGACCCAAACAGCGGTTCAGTCATCCCTGGCCCACAATCTCTGTTACAACTGGTTCCCAATGGCCCGGCCTTAGCCACCCCCCCTCCCCCACAACTGCACCCCCACCTCCCACCCTATACCCCTCTGCCCTCTCTTCTCAACCCTGCATGTGGGCCCTGGCCCCCTCCAGGCTGACCACATTGCTGCTGCTGGACACAGCCGGACACCCAGCCTGCCTCTGGGTCTATGCACTTATGTGTCTTCCGGAAAGTTCTCTCACCCCACCCCCATACCAGCCCAGGCCAGTGCCTCTCCTTCCCCATTTGTTGCATGCTACTGTGTCAGAGCAGCCTCCCTGAGCAACCTGCGTGTAAAACGGACCCCACCCTCCCTTTGCTGTTACTCTGCTTCAGTTTTCAACATAGGCCTTACCACCTTGTGACCTTTTCTGTGGATTTGTCTGTGTTCCTCCACTAGTGAGCCCACCGGAGCAGGGTTTTGTTCGCTGGTGTAATTCAGCACTTACTAGATAATAGGTGCTCTTAAAATAGTTGTCTAATGAATGGCTTTTTAAAAGTTGTCTTTTGAATCCCACAACAATGAGGTTTTCTATTGCCTGTGATTCCTTTTTTTTTTTTTTTTTAAATATATTTTATTGATTTTTTACAGAGAGGAAGGGAGAGAGATAGACAGTTAGAAACATCGATGAGAGAGAAACATCGATCAGCTGCCTCCTACACATCTCCCACTGGGGATATGCCCGCAACCCAGGTACATGCCCTTGACCGGAATCGAACCTGGGACCTTTCAGTCCACAGGCCGACGCTCTATCCACTGAGCCAAACCGGTTTCGGCCTGTGATTCCTTTAGTACTAAAAATGCCCTGCCAGATAGAAGCTAAAAGGTACACACTCTCTGTCACTTAGAAACTTAAAATCTTGTGCTATTTTCTTCAGTTTGCTTATGTGAACCTGGAGATCCCTAACACCCGGCCTGTAGTGTGTTCATTTAATTCACACACATACTCCTTGGATGCGTGTGGCTCGCAACCATTGTGCAGGCCCTGGAGGGGGCTGGCCCACAGGCGCTCACCGTCTGCCCTACGACCAGGCACAGCCAAAGCTGCTCTGGGTATGAGGAAGACGGGCATGTAACACTTGTTAGTGATCTCTTAGGAAAATGGTCACATAGTATTAAAACAAGATTCATTAAAAATAGTTAAAAAGAAACCTGCTGGGGCTACCCCCCCCAAACTTGTAAGTACTTTTTCAAACATGTCAGTTCAGCACCCTATAAGTTTGTACATAGATTTCACTTAAATTCAAACTGGCTTGTCATTCTGATGAGGAGCAGTTACTTCGAGATAAAAGTACTGAGGATTTAAAGCATTTGTTAGGACTTTGGGTTAGGTAGTTGATAAGGACTCTTCCATACTGCTGTTCTGAGACCTCTGACCCCCTCCAACTTGAGGTGTGGTCTCATGGTTCTGACTAAACTAAATGACACTTGCGTTCCTGAAAATAATGGTACATGTGCATATTCTTATTCTGAAACCTTGGGCCAGGTGTCTGTGGTATTCAGAGACTGCAGGTTTTAGAAAGGCGGTGCCGCATAAACCCTGTCTATTTTGTAATGCTCTCAGCAGGATTTGGGGTTAGCACTTATAATACAGGGTATTTCTGCAGTCAAATGATAAATAGGCAACAAAGTATGATAAAGACTAAGTAGCTCGTGTCAGTTTAGGTCTAGGGCTAGGCAGAGGGGTACAAATATACCAACAATAAAACAAATGAAGACACAATAAATCTCAGTTTTCATTTCTTTTTTTTTTTTTTTTTTTTTTTTTTGGCGGGGTGGGGGGGGGACGGGCGGGGAATACAGACCAGAAGCACCATCTATTGAGGACCACAGGTGTGGGGGACTCTGCCCGATGCTTTTCATCCGAATTACTCTTCAGAGCAACCTGTGTTTCCAGGCCATGACTCAGAGGTTCAGAGGTGTCTAGCCCAGATCTCGGTGCCTCTGAAGCCTGACTCCACCGCACTAAGCAGTCATGTGAAGGCATTGTCTTTGCTCAGATCTAGGAACTTCCAGCACCCTGCTTCCAGCCGGCACCATAGCTCACCCATACCAGCACAGCAGCCTCTACTGGGTCTCCCGACTTCTACTCATGCTCCTCTCCCGTTTCCATACCCAGCTCCCATACTCTGTTCTCTACATAGCATCAAAGTGCTCATTTAAAACACAAATCCAATCACATCACCCCTCTGCTTAGAACCCTCCCTTAGCTTCCTATTATCATCAAAACAACATCCACAGCCCTGACCATGGCCTACAAGGGCTGTGTGCTGTGACGCCTGCCCACCTCTCCCTCATTTCTTACCCTTATCCCTCCTTCACTGTGCAGCAGTCCTCTTGGCCTTTTTGTTATCCCTCCAGTTTGTGCTGTTTCGTGCTCAGAGTTTCCTCCCCCATATCTTGGTATCTTTCTCATCATTTAGACTTGATTTGACTATTGTCTTTCCTGACTACTGTATCTAAAACCACCTCCCTCACATTTCTTCCCCCACCTACCAATTCACCCTCTATTCTGTTCCCCTCATTAATTCTATCACAGCACTTCCAGCCATCTACTCATCATGAAATCCACTCTTGTTATTTGTTTCTGCACGTGGTCATTTTCTTTCTTCCTTCAGTGGAATGCAGGTGGGGACTTGCTCTCTATTCTTCATCCTGTGCACTCAGTGTCAGCACAGTGCTTGACATTTGATAAATGTTTACTGAATGAATGAGGAAAGGATGCCCTAGAACAGCTGGTGAAGAAAAGGAAGAACATGAGGAGGTTTAAAGTGAAGTATTTAAATTTTTTACATGTTTTTATTTATGTTAGAGAGAGAAAGGGAGAGGGAGAGGAAGAGGGATAGAAACATCAACGTGAGAGAGAAAGATGGACCGACTGCCTCCTGCAAGTCCCCTGGGCATGTGCCCTGACCATGTGCCCTGACCAGGACTGTGCTTAATACCTGAGAATGGTACACGTAAAACTGGTTAAAAGGGTAAATTTCGTGTTATGTGTATTTTACTACAATGAAAATAAAAGTTAAAAACAAAATCACAGTGGCTTGCAGGGTAGAGAAGGAATTTCAGTGGCTAAGAGGAACTGGTTCTGAGGTCCTGGCAGCAGTCCAGGAGTAAGATGGTGGCTTGAACCAGAACAGTGGCTATGATATCATCGAGAAGTAGAAGGATTTGTGGGTCAGGACTTTGTTATGGATAAGAAAGTAGGGAAAGGAAATGTCAGCGATGCCTCCCAGATTCATGGCTTTCAGACATAGTGGAGTAATTTTTTGAGACAGGAAATTCCAAACCAGCTTAAGGGAAGATCGTATGTGCAGTTTTGGACCTTTTTGTTTAAAATTCTTTCATTCAAGTGGAGATGTTGGCTAGAGAGAGATGAAACTCAGAGAGAGGTTTATAAGTGATGTGTAAATTTTAGAGTTAATGACAAACAGATTATCATGGAAATCATGGACATGAAAGAAATCACCTTGAGGAGAAAGTAGAGAGTAAAGAGAATAGGGTCTTTGGACCAAGCCTTGGGGGAAGACCAGCCTATAGAGCCCATGAAGACCAAGAAGTGTTAGGAAGAAAGCTTGACCTTGAAGAAGAAAAATCAAAAGAGCTTTCCAACAAGAAATGAGAGATCCACAAGATCAGCTTCCTGTCTCTGCCGATTTACCTATTCTGGATGTTTCATATAAATGAAGTCATACAATAGGTGGCCTTTTGTGTCTTCAAGGTTTATCCATGTTGTAGCATGTTTCTACACTTCATTTCTTTTTATGATTGAATAAGTTTCCATGTGTGAATATGCCAAATTTTGTTAAGAATTCATCAGTTGATGGACATTTGGTTTGTTTTCACTTTTTGGCTATCATCAGCAGTGCTACTATGAACATTCCTATATAAGTGTTTGTTTGAAAACCTGTTTTTCAGTTCTTTGGGTATAGGCCTAGGAGTGGAATTGCTGGGTCTAACTTTAACTTTTTGAGGAAATAGCAATTCTTTTCCATACAAGCTGCACGGTTTTGCACTCCCACCAGCAACATAGGAAGGTTCTGATTTCTCTACATCCTCATCAACACTTATTTTCTGTATCATTATTACTAGTATTGTCATTCTGGTGGGTATGAAGTGGAACCCAGTTGTGTTTTGATTTGCATTTCTCCAATGACTAATGATGTTGAGCATCTTTTTATGTGCTTGTTGGCATCTATAAATCTTCTTTAGAGAAATGTCTGTTCCAGTCCTGTGCTTACTTTTTAATTGGGTTGTCATTTTGTTAAGTTATGAGTTCTTTATATATTTTGGATACTAGACCCATATCACATATATGATTTATAAATATCCCATTCTGTAGATTGTCTTTTTATTTTTGTCAGAGTGTCCTTTGAGACACAATTTTTTATTTTATTTTTTTATTTTGAGGAAGCCTAATTTACCTGGTTTTCTTTTCTTGCTTGTGCTTTTGTTATCACCGCAAAGATTCTATTCAAAAATCCAAGGTTAGGAAGATTTGCCCTTATGTTTTCTTCTAAGAATTTTATAGTTTCGGCTCTTATACTTAGGTTCTACATCCTTTTGATTTTGTTCTTTGTTAAAATCATTGCTACTGGATTAGCTCAGTGCGGCCCATAAATTGGGGTCTTAATTTACTTAGGTAAATTGTCCTCACATTGGTTTCTGCAAATTTCAAAGGGAGAATTTTTGGGATTTCATAGGAGAATCTATTCCCATATAGAATCCTTTATGGTTCCATAAACATCACTTTATTTTTATTTTTTAAATATATTTTTATTGATTTCAGAGAGGGAGGAGAGAGAATCATTG